TTAAGTTGTTTGGACCAACTCCCAGAATTCTGCATCCACTATCCTGAGGAATCTTGGAATTGAACTCCATACATCTTAAAGACGTTGAAGTTGAGAACACTGGTTTAGACCAATGTGGAGTTTTCCCTAATATGTTATATCAATGCATATTGATTTATGAATGGTGGCATTGCAATTAGCCATAGCTTTTAAACACAGAACTTCATCAAATGCCTATTAATGTGAAACTCATCTTCTCCTTATAATGAACATATACATGATATTGAACTCTGACTCCCAAATGTCTTGCATTTATATTGGTTACTCAGAACAATTCTCAAGTTGTTTCCTCTCCAATTTTTCCATGGAAACCAGTTACTCTGGGAATAGGTGGATTAAAATTGGGTTGTGGATTGAACTTTCTCTTGATTTATTGGCATTTTATCTCATCTCACACATCAGCTACACTGAAAAGGTCATAACAGATTAACTATGACTATCCTACAGTTATAAAAAGAATAGTACTATCATGCAGAAAAAGCACACTCAATTAAAATTATCTCTGTGAAAACAATTCAGTTTGTAGCCAGATATAACCTGTCAATTCATTTACTGCTAAATTTGAGCATGACATACACACAATGGACTCATTTACACATCTACTTGTGAATTGGTCTATCTCCCTTATGAACATGTACTATACTATAATAACTGCTTTTCTGCATTTCAGCCTTTAACCACTTGTCTCCTTTGGATAAACTGACTGGAAATAAAAGTAGCTTAGAAGGGGTTGTCTCCCAGATTTCAAATCTTTCCTACATTTTGATGACAGTAATGGTCAGCTGCTTTGTTTGAATAGTGGTTAATGGGGCCCCTTATTGGCAGATTCCTTTATTTCTTTTGCTCCTTCCACAGGTAAGTGCCATCTGTTTTCCCCCTTCTGAGAATAAAGGGAGGAAATAGTTTTAACATCCTTCCTGTTACTTGGACTAGAAGGGGAAACTTGGCAAAAGACTTGGCCAATATTTCATCATTGCTGAGTTGCCATATTCTCCCCTCTGCAGTATTGGATGGTAAAATATGAAAAGGTAACATTGGCTGGAAAGCTCTTCCCCCTGGGATTCCAGAGAGGTGTAGGACATGTTCTTCTTCATTTCTCCTTTTATGGAAACATCTGAATCTGATGCATATTACCCAGTGGTGGGATTCAAGTATGTGAACAACTGGTTCTCTGTGTGGATGCCACTTCCAGAAGTCCGTCCTGGGTAACAAAAAATTAGCTACTGGTTCTGCCGAACTGGTGCGAACTGGCTGAATCCCACTATTGATATTACCTCTGATTAGGGTATCCTGGTTGCTTGGATTAGGCCATTGCCCAAATGGTGCTCATAGATGAAGTACACCTTGTTACAGTGCATGTAGCTAGGTTTTGTTCAGCAGCACAGACAGTCCATCAGACCCTTATGAGCCATCATCCCACAATGCATTCTTTGTAACTATAATTAATTTAAATTGTAGGTATTGTTACTTTATTGATATTAATCATTTTAGATGCTTTTGTTTTGTTGTAATTGTAAGCCAATGTAATTTTAACATTTCCATTATAATTTAATATAGGCTGTGTCCTGCATCTCACTTATAGATGTTATGTTTGTTTTACAAATGTATTTTAACTCTTAAATTATCTCTGCTGGTCTACAACTGCAATAAATTGAATTGAATTGAAAACCATTGCTGTGTTGAACCTGATTGGAAAAAAATAGAGCCAGCACTTCCTTATTAATTTATTCATTTAATTTATCTCCCAGCACAATCAAAGAAGACTCTTGGCAGCTGACAATGATAAACAAACATAACCATCAAATAAAAAATCTTATAAGTCCATTATACTTCATAAAAGAATAAATTGGATGTCACTCTAAAGGCAATTTAGAAAAGCTGTTTTCAACTTCTTCTTGGGGGCAGGGTAGTGGGGTGAGGGGGAAGCCAATAATGTTGAAATAGGCAGATCTTTAATGGGAATCCATTCTAAAGGGCCAGCCTTATCACGGAAAAACAATATTTTTAGGCTTCAGCCCCACTTCCCAAAATAAAGGATAGCCATGTGTTTCTCCCAGCATTACCAAAGTGGTTGGGTTCATTCCAATAGGAAGATGTGATCCTGCAGGTGATTCAGTGCCAGCCATAGAGGGTTTTACAAGACAAACCCAGCATTTCAAATTGCCCCCAGTAGCTAATTGGAGGCCATTGCACTTGGGCCACTGCATTCAGTACCAACTTAAGCGTCCAGGAAGTATTTAAAGGCAGCCCCAAGCAGAGTATGTGGCAGTAATCTAATCAAGTGCTGAGTCACTGCAGTCAATACAGCGGAATCTGTTAAAAAAAAAAAGCTCAGCAACCCAAAATGACCAATGAAGAAACTGGGGACTGCAAGTATGTGCCCACCAAAACATACAGAACCAGAATATGCAATTTTGATTAAGAATATGCAGCCCAAACAAAATAATGTTTTATTATACCGTTCAATTTCATTGCTGAATATTTCATTTCCATATATGAGAACAATATTTCTTTTGTGGTTGCTGTTTTTTTGAATTCCATAATGGGTTTATTTCAGTGTGTCACATTTCAAAATGGGAAAGTATATCCATTAAAATGGAGTCAAGTTTCTTAGTCCCATCCCCATTCATATTTTAATATATACAACTCCTGAAAGCCAATGGAAGTGTAATTACTAGCTTGGAGATAAATGTTCTGTGTGAAGGCTAAAACTATAATTTGAAAACTCTAAAGCTAAACAGATATCTTCACAGAAGCATATAGGTACCACACAAACACATCACACATTCATTTTAAGTTTGTGTGTTTTCTCTAAGACACTTCATGCAATCCATAGCTGTAAAACGAAAAGAAAGGGGGTAAAGTATTTTCGCTCAAATTGTACCAGTCTCAGTGTTGAGTGTAACAAGGATTCTTGAGTATTCATTATATGTTTCTGGGATAGCAGGTTGCAAAAATACAGGTAGTCCTCGACTTACGACCACAATTGAGCCCAAAATTTATGCTGCTAAGTGAAACAGTTGTTAAGCGAGTTTTGCCCCATTTTACAGCATTTCTAGTCACAGTTGTTAAGTGAATCACTGTAGTTGTTGAAGTTAGTAACATGGTTGTTAAGTAAATCTGGCTTTCCTATTGACTTTGCTTGCCAGTAGATCGCAAAAGATGATCACATGACCCAGGGACATGCAACCGTCATAAATATGAGTCAATTTCCAAGGATCGGAATTTCGATCACGTGACCATGGGTATGCCACAAGGGTTATAAGTGTGAAAAATGGTCATAAGTTATTTTATTCAGTGCCCTTGTAACTTCAAATAGTCACTAAATGAAGTGTTGTAAGTCGAGGACTACCTGTATGTCAGATTAGACTAGAGGTCTTTGTGCGGACACAGAGAGACAGCAGCAAGTAAAAATAAAAATAATTGAGCCTTCCTCTTTTGCAAATGAAAGACCCAGGAGCCAAATACAAAATTGATCACATTCTATGCAGGTTAAACAAAGTTCAATTAAGCAGTTTTTACCTTCACAGTGTAAGGCACAGGTGTCAAACTGCCAGCCCGTGGGCCAGTTGCATCATACGGAGGCTGCGCCCACCCCAGCTTTGTCAATGAAAAAAAGTCATGATACGTTGCAAGACGTCACGTGATGCAGCGAGTTTGACACCTGTGGTGTAAGGGGCTGCTTCTCAAACCTGGGTAAATTACTCAAAATTGAGTAAAAGTCGATTTTCTTTGGCTAACAACATATAAACCCATTACTCCATCACAGGGACATTTAAATTGACTTAAAGTGTTTTACCTGTATTGGGTAAAAAGGATTTTTGGATAATTAGTTTTGCATATATATGGCAAGCAGTGGTGTAATGTGTTTCAAATTCTCAGATGTGAAGGATCATCATATGAAGTAGCATTTGCAATAGCAGTTAGATTTATATACCGCTTCATAGTGCTTTACAGTCCTCTCTAAGCAGTTTACAGAGTCAGCATATGCTCCCCAACAATCTGGGTCATTTTACTGACCTCAAAAGGATGGAAGGCTGAGTCAACCTTAAGCTGGGTAGGATCAAACTCCTGGCTGTGGGCAGAGTTAGGCTGAAATACTGCATTCTAACTACTGTGCTACCATGTAATGCCAATCTTCTAGCACAGTGATGGTGAACCTTTTAGAGACTGAGTGCCCCAAAACTGCCCTGCCCCGCCCCTTGCTCCGCCCTCCACCCTGCCTGCCCACAGGGCCACCCACCGCCTCCATGGCCCACCACAGCAGATCGCCCAGGCAGCCCAGCAGCACCATGGTGGCCACGCCCTCTGCCCACACCCCGCAGCATCATGTGCGCATGATGGGGTACGAGGGTGGAGTCTTGTCCCCGCTGCCCGGCTACCATGTCCTTGGCTGCGCTGCTCTGCGCGGGCTGCACCTGGGGGTGACTCTCATCCGGGGAGGCTTCTGGTGAGGAGGGGACTGCGGGGGGAGGCAGGGCTGGGGCGATGGCGCGCGTGCCTACAGAGAGAGCTCTGAGTGCCGCCTCTGGCACGCGTGCCATAGGTTCGCCACAACTGTTCTAGCAAGTATTACTAGAACACAAAAGTCATTCTTTTGTACTGTTGTTGTAGGCTGAGTTTAGAATTTTCCCTTTCATTTAAAACAGTAATCTTACTACTACTAGTAGTAGTATTGTGATTCTAGTAGATCTCTCCACCTGTTCAAAAAAACTTTAAGCCAAAGACTTAAGGTTGAAACTTATTCACCTGAAAGGTTCTGAATTTTATTTAAAGATTTATATGATATGATCTGAAAGCAGCACCTATAAATACAGTTGTGAGAGGAACAATAAAATAATTTTAATAAACTTTTTTTACACCAGGCTTTCAAAGGTTGTTTTAAAGAAATGTCTATCTTCACAGGTAACTCATGTAATGATGTTTTGTGACCTTCCTTTCCCCTTTCCTTTTTCTTTAAGATATTTGAGCAGTTTGTCAAGACAAGAATAAGAGAAGAATATAAGGAAAAGAAAAACAAACTACTGCTAGCCAAAGAAGAATTCAAAAAGCTGCTGGAAGAATCTAAATTGTCACCGAGGTATGACAAAAACTTTTTAAATATAAGTCTTAAGTGGAGCATCCTTTGAATGTGAATAAACTGAAATTATGCCAGAAACCAAGCTTCTGAATATGAATGTATCGCTTAGAGTGCTGGACACAAATTTTTGTCATCTTCTGGTTAGCTGAGACCTTGTGACACTATCAAAACCCATAAACCTCAATATTCTTGCAAAAAACTACATGATGCTTCAGAGATGACACCCCCATTGCTAGACTTTGTGAAATTTTTGGATATTTTTTTTAAATGTTCAATAACCCTATTCTAGCATGGTTGTATAAATTTGCATGATAGAACTTGATGCCTGAAAATATTTTGTCAGCCTTTTAATAGATGATACAATACATAAAGGGACTTTCATTGGCAACTCAAATCATAGAAAGGTTCATAGAATCAGTGGTGCTTATTATACTCTTTATTATTCTCTATCCATTTTTTCTTTTTTCAAAGCTAATATCCCCGATCTTCTGCCATTATTCCATTACAGCTAAGGTCAAATTTTTTAAAGGGTTGACTTCATGTTAGTGTCAACCAACTCTCCAATCTCTCTTTTTAAGCCCTAAATTATATAGGAGAGGCTGAACTCCAGATCCAGTATAGGTTTCCATATATAAAATACATGGAGAAAGTGCATAATTTATTTCAAGAACATATTTGATATCTGTAGCTACATTAGTGCAGTAACCAATAGGTTAATGAAGATGTAATTTATTGTCATGCATTATAAGCAAGTTGAATTAAATCGATTATCTCAGTATATAAAATATACTTTACAGTCAAAATCTGTCACTGTACTTTATTATGCTTTGCAGTAGAAGACCCAGTTGCAAGTATGATTAATGCTTGCTATATATCCAAGTACATTTTATTATATTATAAAATCAGTCTTTTCAAATTATATTCACACAAGAATATCATTCACAATGGTGACTGCACATTAAATGCAAGATTTTGAAATGTTGCCTGTTTTATATAATTCTTCATGGAAAGAAGGATCTAAGAGTCTTATATGAAGTTGTGATTCTTGTTTGCAATTTTATTATTCATCAAGATAGTTTATGACAAGAGTTTTATATTACAGAGATAAAGAAAAACATTTTGCTCATAGTTTGAATAACTTTATAAACCTCCATAAGTTAATGTAGGGAATAGTTTTCAGATTTTAACAATGTATTATTATAATTTTTTCTATATGCATAAATGGAGAATATTGAAAAATTATTCAATACCTATATGAGAATGACAGTAACTATGATAATAATTTAAAAGGTTGACTTGTACTACACCATTATAGTTAAATTTGTTAAAGATGAAATATGAATATATATAGTTTTTTCCAATTTGTTGAGGTTTTTTTTTAGTTTTTGGTTTCTTATTTCTTTCTTTCATTATTTTAATTTTTTTACTATGTTATGGCCTTTTCACCACTAAGGTTGATACTGATCACACAGAATAGTATATGGAGGAATAAACGTAGGACAGATTGCTATATGCTTTTCCAACAACACCAGGATATAAATGTAATAAAAAAAACCATTAGAGACAGTTTGGTCTAGTGGTTAAGGCAACAAGCAGAAACTGGGAAACCGTGAGTCCTAGCCATGCCTTAGGAAAGAAGCCAACTGGGTCTAAGCAACCCCAGAAAGAGGCAGTGGCAAAATACTTTGGAAATATTGCCAAGAAAATGGCAAAGACTTGTCTAGGCAGTCTAGGAACCAAAAGCTTATAATACATAAGTATTAGGAATGTTAAGATCACATACAGTAGTGGTTAGTGTTGCAAAATGCTGCCATGACAGCTAGGACAATCACAAAATACCCATTTGTGAGAAATCAAATGGATAAGATGTTCTCTATGCCCTTTCTATCTACACCCATATCCCATATCACTGAATGCTAACTCCAGCCCTGGAGTGCTTTTGACATTTTATTTGTTTTAGGTATGTGGGCACACATCCAAGCTAATCACTGGGTCATCACTTCCTTTCATTTTCATTTTTTTTAAAATAATAATATCTGGTAGATAGTCAAGTCAAAGTTTATTTCAGTCAAAGACCAGAAATAAGATCAGATAAGACACATTTTCACAGATTAAGATAATTCCCCAGGCTGACACTTAATATTGCAGCAAGCTACATAGCTTCTTGTATTGTAAAGTGAACCAGTTATTATCTCTATTTTATTATCTCTAGCAGGAACACGTTGTAGGAACACATTTTAAGCCAAGGCAAACATGTTCTGCATTACTACAGAAGTATGATATTTACCTCTGTCAAGATCATGGGGAAAAAAGGCCCTTTCTTCTTTAACCTGATATTTTCAAGATACTAGGAAGCAAATGTACCTAGGGGAACCTGGAGTGGGATGGGATTTATTTCAAAAAGAAATCAGAAGTTCACTAGATTCATCCATTTTTTTCCTGCAATGCTTCAAAAAACAAGCCACTTCAAATATGACAATCCCTTTTAAATTCCACACTTTCTGTGGTTTCATGGGATGCCTAAAAGCTACTACATGATGGCATCAAGCAGGGCCATCAAACATCAAGATGGTTGGCTTGCCCATGTGATTAAAGTCCCACCTATTTATTGTGGGCCTTGTATGTGTAAAGCAAAACAAAAAATGAACATGTTTTTAACAATGTGGTCCTGAATGCAATTTCCAATGTAAATAAAGCCAAACATTGAAATTTAAGTCAGAATTTCCATAATGCCATACAATGTTTTTATTTAGCCATACAAATTGTTTCACAAATTTCTCTATATACTACTCCCATCCTTCATATTTCCAGAGAGAATCATACTTGGGAATCTAAAGATATCTGACTCTACCAGTTCTGATGAAAATCTTGGCCTTCTAAAACTTTATGCTGCTGTGGGAAGAAAAAAGTCGTGTTGTTTGGCATTTAAACTCTTAATTTTTGAGAATCCCATCTTAATTTTAATTATGTTGGATCATCCACAGTGAACTAATTATTCCTCTAGGTTCCATGAATCAATAAATAAGTCTATTATATGAAAGTGGAATAATGACTTAGGATGAGAAGCCAAGCAGATCAATGAGTTTTCGAGATTTTTGACTTTAATCTTTCTATTTCTATCACCTCTATGACAAGGAAAAGATGTAGTAAGAATGATTTCAGGAGAAAAAAAGAAAAACCTGTGTGTTTAAGAAAGAGCCAAAGAACATTAACACATATTTCAGGATCCAAACTCCTGGTCCCAGTGACTGACCAGATTGATTGGTTCCTGTAATATTATCCTTGGACACATATATTTGCCTTCATTCATACACATCTATTGACTATCCTGCAGCTGCCTGAGAATGCATGCTTATTCTTTGATAATTATTCCTTTCCCATTCTAGGACCACCTTTAAGGAGTTTGCAGAGAAATATGGCACAGATCAACGTTTTCGATTGGTTCAGAAAAAGAAAGACCAAGAGCAGTTTTTCAACCAGTTCATACTTATCCTTAAAAAGAGAGACAAAGAGAACAGGATAAGGCTACGGAAAATGAGATAAAAAGCAAATCTGCAATAAGAATGCAAGTCAAATACTGGGGCATCGACAGTGGAGAAGATGAATGGCATGCATTTTATATCATCTTTTGAGTTTTTTACTCCCAGCAATTAGAGGGAAATTCAGAAAATCCGAAGAGCCATCTCAGCACACAAAGTTTCTGTCTGTTGTATGTGGAAGACTGCACTGCAGAAATCTGTGGTATATTTCATTCTCAGAGACTTAATGTTTCATATTGAAGCTCTCTTTTTTGTACAACATTCAAATTTGATGCGTTTCTAATTACATGATATGTCGGTCCCTTAATTGTTTTAATAATTTATGCAAATTATTTGTAATATACACAAAATTGAAATCCAGAGTGATTTGCTATAAAGCAGAAGCAGATGCCATCCATAATAATATCAAGGATTTTTTTTAACCATTTAAGAAAAAAAAACCCACTAACACTGTACTTCTCTGCACATTTATTTGGAAATAAGTCCTGTTGACTTCATCAACACTTGCTCCCAAATAAAAGTGTTTAAAAATGCTGCACAGTTATGTTTGGGCAGCTTTGTACATTAAAAAAATAATAATAAATGGTTTAAAGGTCCAGTGATACTGAAGAAATCATTATTCAATGTTCATAGGTCTAAGTCTAGTTTTCTGAGTCGTAGTAGTACTAGGGTATTAATTGTAATCATAGTGAAGATGTGAAAATCCTGGCATCTTTCCTGTAGAACAGTGTATAAATCTTTACCAAAAAAGCTTTGTAATTAAATTATTCTCAATAATGCTCCAGGCACATCAAGAAGAGCAGCACTTCTATATTAAAAGCTATTATAAAGAAGTTATTTTGTAAACCCATCCTACTAATATTTGAGTTATTTTTATTGTATGCGAAGAGTTTGCATGAGATCAGTCTCATCTTTGTATAATCAAAGATTTTAATCTTTTTTTAATTAATAAATATTTTAAGACTATTGGTCATTTTTTTCTCTCCAAATGATTGAAATCACCTCTAAAATTGCAACTGTTTTTTTGTATTTAATTGAAGACTGAAGAATAAGGATGGAAGGGAAGAGCTCTTTCTGATTCTAGGCCAGGGGTTCCCAACCAGGGATGCGAGACGATATTCCACGGGGTGCGAAAACTTGGGTTTTCAAAATTATAGTGTATATGCATAATTCGTTGCCATTATTTTGAACTTTTGTAAGGGATGCGAGAATATATCAGAAGCGTTCTAGGGGTGCGAGGTATAGAAAAGGTTGGGAACTGCTGTTCTAGGCCAACGTTCTTTAATTTAGTTTATCCTAAAGTAAGCAACCTGATGTATACTTCTATAGTTCAAAACATCTCAAAGTACAGGCAGTCCTCAACTTACAACTATTCATTTAGTGATTCTTTGAAATTACGACTGCACTGAAAAAAGACTGGTCCCCACACTTAAAACCATTGCAGCATCCCCATGCTCACATGATCAAAATTTGGGCACTTGGCAACTGGCATGTATTTATGTATCAGGCATGAAAAAACAGGTCCATGTATGAAGGTTCTAATTGATTACTACCACCAATGGCCAGGATTCTCCTCAGAGTAATGGTTAGCATCTGGACCGATAAGCTGTAGCTGTATGAAAGTGGGGTAGGACTTCATTATGTTGTGGCTACATAATGATTCTTAACTGATGTCTCATTTAACTCCTCCCCATGGCTCTGCCAGACTCTCTCCTACATTGTGTCACATGATCACCATTTGGGGCCTATCCTGGTGGCTTCCAACAAGCAAAATCAATGGGGGGAAGGTGGATTCACTTAATGACTATGTGACTCATTTAACAACTGGGATAATTCACTTACCAACCCTGGTAAAAAAAGGTCATAAGATCAGGTGCAAATAGTCTTGCTAAGCAATTGAAATTCCAGTTGCAAATTGTGGCTGTCAGTTAAGGACATGTAATCCTGTAATCTTCGTTTAGCAACCACAATTGGGAAGGGCAATTTGACTGATATGCAAAACGATCACTAAGTGAACCCACAACACTGCTTATGATCTTACTTCAGTTTTCCTTTGCTTTATAGACTGTTAAGGTTGTAACTGCAAGGATTGGTAAAAACATTGGATTTTTTTTTAATCACCATCATAATTATGAAAGATTGCTATATAAGAATTGCTTTTATTGCTTAAGGTACTTTGGAATGCATCTCTCACCTTTAAATAGATTAAGAGTTATTAACAAAACCAATATTTCCCCAAATACCTAGAGGAAATTATATTTGAGATTGCTGCCTTGTATCAATGGCTGTATTTTAGGTATTCTAGGTTTAAAAAATGACAGTTTCTTTACTTACCTGTGGCTGTATTTGTTATTTTGAAGCAATTATCCAGTGACACCTTGTTAATTGGACATTGCTTTAAGAATTGTCTGTTTTAAAAAGTATCCACAAGTAACATTTATAGTCTACTTCCCATGAGTTCCAAGTGAAAAGATAAACTTATTTTTTACTGATCGTCATAAGGAATGGAATTGTCATGATAAAGATAACTCCATGTATATAAATAAAATACCAAGATGAAGCTAAAATAAGAATAGCAGTTGTTCTTTTACACTACAGTAACTTATGTTCCTCTGCCTCTTTGCAGACAAAAATAATAATCACTTCTATCATTTCTTCGATAGAAAAAAATGGACTGGTTATTTTGGTCTTTCAACATATTTAGAAGTTTTTCTTTCCAAATTCTAGGTAATATGGTTCTGGTTATCTTGAAGAAAATAGTAAAAAAAATGTGCTTGATTTTAGAAAATAAGAAATATGACTGATGAAAAAATGCAGCCATCATTGTCTGGGCAAAAGAGTTTGAAAATTTTTTAAAGTCTAGGATAGCCAGATGATATTTGACAGCAAATTAAATATCCCCTTAATTCACTGAAGTATATGAAGGAGGAGGTGCACCATTTGCAGAATTCTCTTATAAAAGTCAGTCTCAATAAAAGTAATTTTACCTTCCTCTGTAATTGATTTCCTGGTCCTGACCATCTAATGAGGGCATTGACATTGGTTCCTCTACCACCATCGCCATCTGCCTAACAAATATTAAAGGAATGAGGTTCTGTAGATATTTGGAAATAGTCAACTATTTTGTTTAACACAGGTAGCTGCCTCATCATTTAACTTTAGAATATACATTTATGAGGTAGAGTTCTATTTCTAGAATAGCAGTGCAGGGTTTCTGTCATATAATCATGTGGATGGTTTAAAAACCATTACAACAGAGAGGGTGATGAACCAATCTAAATATTAACTAGGAGATCTATATATCAAGAGTCATTCAGGAAGATAAAACTTGCCACTGGTTTTACAACTAGGCTGTGGGAATTTAGATTCCAGAATTATATTCTAGAACCAGGTTTGTATTGACCATATACTACCTTAGCTAGCCAGTAAGTAAAATAGTCATATGATAGATCAATATAGCAGTATAGCAAATTACACATCAGGCAGTATTTCCCATGAAATGTAGTCAATGAACTAAATCTTAAAGATACAGCAAGTGGCTAAGCATGTTTTAGCCCCATTGTACTGGGGGACTCTCCATTTATAGTCAATGATGGGGCTGCATCTCTCCATCCAAAACTAATGTATAACTGTGGAATTATCTTGGTCACACAGCTCCTACTCAAAGAACATATGGCAGCTATAGCCAAGAGGGTCTTCACTGAGAATCATCTAATGCAGGGGTAGGGAACCTTGGCTTTTTTATGACTTGTGGACTTCAATACCCAAGAATTCCTGAACCAGCCATGCTGACTCAGGAATTCTGGGAGTTGAAGTCCATAAGTCATAAAAGAGCCAAGGTTCCCTACCCCTGATCTAATGCATAAACTGCACCCACTCAATTGGGAAGCCTTTCTGATGGTCACTCATGTCCTACTCACCTCATGGATAGACTGCTGCAATGTGCTCTACATATTGGGGCTTTGTTTGGAGATCATCTTAAGGATACAAATAATCCAGACCACAGTGGCATGAATGGTGATGTGCATACTGCAGTATGTCTGGGCTTTCAGATGCAATTCAAGGAGCTATTACAATTTACGTTGCATTTCATGGGACATAGCCTGACGATTTGAGGAACTAGCTATGTTGTCTGCCTGTAAGATAAAGCAAAGTTATATGCTCCAGGTCTCCTCAATTTCATCTACTACAGGGGTGTCAAATTGGCGGCCCACAAGCCTGATGTGTCACACACAGGTCACACCCACCCCAGCTCCGCAAAGGCAAAAAATGTCACAATACATCACGATGTGTCATGTGACGCAATTGAGTTTGACACCCATGATCTACTATGATCTAGGAAGCATGCTTTCTTTGTTGTGGTGCCTGCCTTCTGGAATAGTTACCCCTCTAGAGACCTGTATGAACCATACCCCAATAATATTCTAAATGTTTTTGAAAATCTAATTGTTCTCCCCAACTCAGGGATTGTGATGACTCCTCTGGATGCATCCCCAGATACGTCTCCATATGTCAACTCAGAGGAGGATGAACCAGTTCCAGACACATCTTGTTCTGAGCACATCTGGAGGGGAGTTGTCAATGGCTCCAAGTACCATCTGAGAGGAATTTGGCTGAAGCACAGCTGCAGCAGGACAGCCCTGAGGCTTCAGGTGGGGAAAGCATGCAGCTGCAGTCGGTCAGTGATTAGGAAGAAGAACTGCCTTCTGCACCTGATAGAAGAATAGCAGAGAAAAGGCAGAAGCCGTGAAGATCAGTTTGATTACTTAGGAGGAGGCAACCCTGTCCCTCTTGATGGGCCATAACATAAGCTGGCTATTTAGCACAGCAGGCAGATGGAGGTGATGCTGGGAACAATGTATTCATTTCCTAGTTGCATATTTCCTGCCTTGCTTTGAATTGACACTGCCTTGACTTGGATCATGCCTTGTGAACTCTGAACTCTTCTTGCTGCACAGTTATGTATTGGGGATTTAACTCTGCCTGGTGTGTTTATCTTGTTTG